AGTGGTAGAGCGCTTGCTTTGCATGCATGAGGCCCTGGGTTTGATTCCTCAGCACCACATAAGCAAAAAGAAAAAAGCCGGAAGTGGCACTGTGACTCAAGTGGTTAGAGCGCTAGCCTTGAGCTGAAGAGCTGAGGGACAGCGCCCAGGCCCAGAGTTCAGGCCCCACGACTGGACCCCCCCCCAAAAAAAAGTATCCCAGTTTACCATGATGAGTTGGCATTGAACAGATATTAAGACCCCTACCAGTTTAAAAAATATTTTTTTAATATTTGTACAGGGATAGTCAATGTGTTAAATATTGTGTGTAAGGTCTTACCTATGTGAGTTTTGTTACAAAAAACTAATAAAGTATTTAATAATAAAAAAATACAGGCTCATGCCTGTAATCCTAGCTACTCAGGAGCTGAGATCTGAGGGTCACAGCTCAAAGCCAGCCCAGGCAAGAAAGTCCGTGAGACTCTTTTCTCCAATAAACTGCTAGAAAACTGGAAGTGGTGCTGTGGCTCAAGCGGTAGACAGCTCGCCTTGAGCTGAAGAGTGCAGGGAAAGCGCCTAAGCCCAGAGTTCAAGCCCCACAACTGACCAAAATAATAATAATAATTTAAAAAAATAGAGAAATGAACAAGAAAGAAAGGATGAAGGAAGGAGGGCATGTCTGTAAAGCCAGCTTCTCAGAAGGCTGAGGCAACAGGAAGTTGGCCAGGGCAACCTATCAACATGCTTCAAAAAAGAAGGAAAGGAAAGAGGAAAATAAACGGGAGAAAAGGTGATGGTGACTCACAGCATTGGTGGCTTTTTTAGATCGACTCTTCGGCTTTTCCTTCTCACTCTCTAACGTATACTCTTTCTTTTCAATGGGTTCTTGCTTGATGTTGCTTTTCATTTCTTTGTCTGCAAGGAACAATGCAAAGTCACCTTGTGTCCCATGCTTCCTCTGCTCCCGCCTCATCCTCCTCACCTCCTCCACCTCGGCCTCCCAAAGCACACTGGACACAGAAGTACACAAAACACTTCCTGTCTGCTTTCCATTTTGCAGCAATAGCAGCCAGTGTCACTACATTCAAGGCCACACTTCCAACCCCTGAAATCAATGTTCTCTTAATCATGAATCCACCAACTTGACCTCTTCCATATTATATATTATATCTCCTTGTAGTCTAAGATAATTAATTTCCTGTGGTCTATCTCCTAGTCTCTAATACCCTTAGTCCCAGTAACTGAAAATTTTGAGTAAAAACTAAGTTATTATTGAACTATCACATGGTAGGCATTATCCTAAAGGCATTCTATAAATCCAATTCATTTCAAAGATAAGAAAATTGCTACTAAAACAAGGTATTATCTCACCAGGCTCAAGATTGTTCATGTCTATAATCCTAGCTACTCAGGAGCTGAGCACTGAAGATCAGAGTTCAAAGCCAGCTGGGCAGAAAAACCAGTGACTAACCAAAACACCAGAAGTGGAGCTATGACTCAAGTTCCTTAAGCACAAAGCTCAAGGACAGCACCTAGGCACTGAGTTTGAAGCCCTAGGGCTGACAGAGGCATGCACATGTGTGTGCATAGAGTTCAAGCTCCAGTATCCTCTCCCTCTTCCCCCATCCCACCCTCACTCACTCACTCTCTTTCTCTCTCTCTCTCTCTCTCTCTCTCTCTCACACACACACACACACATACAGATACTATCTCTAAGGTCAGTTTGTTGGGCCTAGATTCATATTCATGTTGTTTTTACCACACTATGCTGCCTTTCCACTAACTCACTGATCCCTCCCTAAGAAGAGCCAATCATAGTAATTTTGTCCTATGTGTTTTATACCCTGTGAGTATACAGGCCAGCAAGGATTTCTACAATTCACTTTCAGAGGATATCTGTCTGCCTTGCCTGAAATGACAGTCAAAGGCACCAATGCTTTTTGCAAATTGTGTGCATGGAGGGGGGAGAAAAAGAAAGGAGAGAGAGGAAAGGGGAAGAAGAGAGGAGAGAGGGGGGAGGAGAGGAGAGAGAAGGAAAAGGGGATGGGGGAGAGGAGAGGGGATTGAGGAGAGGGAGGGTGGGGGAGAGAGACAGGGAACTGGAACTTAAACTCTAGGTCTCAAGCTCTTGCTGGGCTTTTTCACTAACAGCTGATGTTCTACCATTTCAGCCATACCTCCACTTCCGGATTCTTGTTGGCTAAGTGGAAATTAGAGTCTGGAGGTTTTGTCTGCCTGCACGGGCCCTGAATCACAGATCACAGCCTTTTGAGTAGCTAGGACTATCAGCATGAGATACTGGCACCCAACTAAATTTCAAGGCAGCAACTAGCTGCATTAAATCTTAGCCACTAGCAACATTCCTAATGTGCATGTGCTTCTCTGTCTCTTACTAGGCAGGTGATTATGAGACTAAAGACAGAGATATATTGTCTCTTACTAGGCAGAGATATATTGTCTCTTACTAGGCAAGTAACTATGAGAATAAAAGCAGAGATATATCGAACCCTCATTTCTCAAAGTCCAACAAAGTACTAGTACGTGACAATTGCTCTAGTGTGTATTTAATTAACAAATATTTTCACTTCTTTATATCTATCTTCTTCACAGATAAACTTCTTACCACTTTCATGCTTTGGAGTTGAACAACCCATTCGGCGTCTCAGATTATGAGTCCTAGATTCTGTTGTCTCTTCTGGTTCTATTTTAATATTCATGGCCTAAAACATTTTTAAAAAACAATGCTGTATATACAAATATAAAGAAAGAAATCTTTAAAAGTCCAATTCAAATCTCAAAGTGATGACACCTTTATAAAATTGAGCTAGCAAATCAGGGATTCAAAACATGCTTCTTTCTCTCAAGGACATATCATCTTTAGAGCTACTCACTTAAGGTAAGAATCTTGGAAGCTAGAACAACACTCTCTACTATCATAGATTAAAAAATGGAAGGAAAAAAATACTAGCAATAAATTATGAAGTGTTACTACTCAAATGGAGAGCAACTCTCATCTTCCAGAAGCATCTCAATTCTACATGTTTGTGTAAGGTCTGCACAGGGACACCTCCCTACATCTTGGCTAAGTTTCCACCAAGTATCTGTTACCTAGGTAACTGGCAGGCCTGGAAGCAGTCTCCTTCCCCTCCTGCTAGGTCATATCCTGGGCCACCTCTGGTCACCTGCCTCCCATCTGACCCTAGGAGGGACCCAGACCCTGAGGTCACATCCTGAACCAGTGTGGCCTCACCTTTCCCCCACCTGGCCACACCTCTTCCTGTCCCTGACCTAGATAAGTCCTGGCCCAGGAGTGGGTCACCCCCTCCTTCCTTTTTCAGCCATGCCTCTCCACCAAGCATGGCGGGGGCAGCAGTTCAGTAAATAAACTTCTTTTCCTGCCTGAATAGCGTGTGGTGTTCTCTTCACCGGCTACCTAATGAAACCTAGCTATTTAACATACCTTAACAGTTTCATTATGTTTTCACTAAGCCAAACCCCCAAGCAGGTATGTAAATATTACAATTTCATTAGCTTCTAAGATTTTGCTGACTGCTTTCAAGTCTACCACTTTTCAGAAACCATTAGTACAATCTACACCTCTAACATCACCAAATTCTTTTTTTTTTTTTTTTTTGCTGGACGTGAGACCTGAACTCTGGACCTAGGCACTGTCCCTCAGCTCTTCAGCTCAAGGCTAGCACTCTACCACTTGAGCCACAGCGCCACTTCCAGGTTTTTTTCTTTTTGCTTATGTGGTGCTGAGGAATCGAACCCAGGACCTCGGCACGCAAGGCAAGCGCTCTACCACTGAGCCACCTTCCCAGCCCCACCACACTGTTTTTGAGGAGTACACTGACAGCTCATTATGGGTGAGCTAAATAGCTTTGAGAGAAATGGCAGGTTACTAGGATTAGGGGGATTTTGTTGTCACCGTATTTTCTCCAGTGAATCTGCCCCAGTGTCTACAATATACCTGACATATAGTAGGGTCCTTCAACAAATATTTATCTGTGTTTTAGACACAATGTTTGCAAAGGGTATAAAATTAGCATACATATGGAGTGGGGAGAAGTTTCACAGTTACATTTCCGCACATGTATACAATGTATCCCCCCATCCAGCCCTCTCTTCTCAACCCTACACCCCTCCTTCTTAAAACAATCTTCAGCAGGTTTCATTGTTATACTTTCACACATGGAGATTAAACCACTATGATCATATGTACCCTCCTCCCTGCTCATTAGCTCCCAGGGCTCCAAAGAGTACAACGCCTCCTAATAACGCCCCAAAAGAGCCTGTTTACTTTCCTGATATTTTTCTTAAGTATGTTTTAATTGTACCAAGACTTGAGAAGACAATTACATATATTTCAGTTGTGCGTATGTTTTGCTCAGAAAAACTTTCTCTATTGCCTTCTCTCTCCCTCCTAAAACCCTGCAGCTTTCCTTGAAGTTCCTTATGTCATCTTCATGTATTACAACAATAAATTTTTAAATTATTCCCTTTCTCAGTCATCTTAAAATATCTAGACTTTTCAAATTATTTGCTGCATAAATGTCTGGCTGCTTTTGTGGGGGGTGGGGGAACGGTGATGCTGTCATTTGAACTCAGAACCTGTGCTTGCAACACAAGCAGGCAGACACTCTACCATTGTCACAGCTCCAGCTCTTTTTGCCTTCACTGATATTTTAGGTAGGGCCTCATGATTTATTTTCCCCAGACTGGCCTAGCACTGGCAATCCTTCTGCAGCTGGTATTACAGGCATAATCACTGGCTCTCTAACAATATAGATAGCAAGTTTCTAAAATACTGCAACTCACAGCGCAGGTTAAGACTCTCCCCTTATTCACTGTAACCTCCTCAACTTAGGAAGAGTTCAAGGACAGAAATTAACCTCTATGGGCAACAGTATCAGATTGATTATAAAACAGAGGCAAAGGTCTGACGTTGGCATATGCTTCTGAAAAAAGAGGCACATAGCCGGTGGCTACTCAGGAGGCTGAGATCTGAGGATTGTGGTTCAAAGCCAGCCCGGGCAGGAAAAACTATGAAAATCTTATCTCCAATAAACCACCAGAAAACCAGATGTGGCGTGTGGCCCAAGTGGTAGAGCACTAGCATTGAGCTGAAGAGCTGAGGGACAGTGCCCAGGCCCAGAGTTCAGGCCCCACAACCGGACCAAAAAAAAAAAAAAAAGAGACACAAAGGTTCTGCCTGGAGTGTTCTACTGGATTCACAGGCAACACATTAATGCACTCTTCAATTTGCTGGGCAGACACTCTTCCATTTGAGTCAATCTGAATATTGTACATTAGAAACAAATAAGAGGGGGCTAGGAAGGTGGCTCAGTGGTAGAGCGCTTGCCTTGCATGCATGAGGCCCTGGGTTTGATTCTTCAGCACCACATAAGCAGAAAAAAGCCGGAAGTGGCTCTGTGGCTCAAGTGGTAGAGCGCTAGCCTTGAGCTAAAGAACTGAGGGACAGCACCCAGGCCCAGAATTCAGGCCCCACAACCAACAACAAAAAAAAAAGAGGGCTAGGAATGTGGCTTAGTGGCAGAATGCTTGTTTAGCATGTATGAGGCCCTGGGTTCAATTCCTCAGTACTACATAAACAAAAGAGCTGGCTCAAGTGGTAGGGTGTTAACCTTGAGCAAAAGAAGCTCAGGGACAGTGCCCAGGCCCTGAGTTCAAGCCCCAGGATTGGAAAAAAATTGAAATTGAAAAATTAAAAAAGCAAATAGAAAACTTGTGGGGTGGGAATGTAGTTCAGAAGTAAAACACCTAATTATTAGTCCAAGTGCGAGGGGCTAGGTTTGATTCCAGCACTGCAAAACACACACACACACACACACACACACACACTTTCTGAATAGCACACTTTTCTCAGCTATCATCTGATCATACAAAATAAGTAATACTTATCAACATGAACTCCAGGAAATGATTCAAAAGGTGTTTGTTCTTTGCTGTTTTTTTTTTCTTTCCTTTTTGTTCTGTAGTTCATTTGTGTCTTTGGGAGTGTAAAAAGAGAGGCACTGAAATGGAGGGACAAAGGATGAACAAATGCAGCAATGGTACTCACCCTCAAACTGTCTCCAGACAGGAATAAGTTGTAGGGGTTAAGGATTCGCTCATAATGTCCTCTGATGTGTGAGCCTACAGCTTTGCCAGGAGCAAACCCCATCTTGGTGGCAATTTTGGTCCACTTTCTATCCTTGCAAACAACTGCAAATCCACCTTCTTCTGCAACTAACTGTGAAAATAACAAAAAGGAATGTTTAGAAACATATAAAGGAAACCATTTCTAACACTTAAGTATTAAGTATTACTCCAAGATCAAACTATTCCCAGATGTGGTTATCTTAAGAAAACAAAAACACATAAGCTATTACTGTGAAGTTGGAAACTTTAACATTGCTTTATTTTTATGTTTTTATTGTTATTATAAAGAGTAGCTACAGTTACTTAAGTAATGAGTGCATTACTTTTTGCATAAAGCCATCCCTTACCTCGCCCTCTCCCAGTTTTGCCCTGCTAAAAGCACTTTTGACAGCATGCTCTGTAAGCACTTTGTCCTTGACAAGGCTACCTCTCAATTCCCAAAGCAGTCACCTTAGTAAAACCAGACTAACAACTAAGTCTCTACTACCTTAGTCCTACCCTATGACTCTAAAGATTTCCATAAACAAAGGGGTGGAAAGTTTGATGCTATGCTTGCTGAAAATAATGAAATCTTAAGAATCAGGAAAAACCTCAGAATTCTCAGCTTTATCAACTTCAAAAAAAATCTGTTTTGTTTTTCTTTATCTGACCTAAAATGGAAGGAATAGTTCACAGAGTTACTGTGAAGTTTTAAAATGATTTTAAAACAAACAAACAAACAGGTGACAGAGCTGGGTGCCAGTGGCTCACACCTGTAATCCAAGTTATTCGGAAGGCTGAGATCTGAAGATTGAAGTTCAAAGCCAGCCCAGTCAGGAAAAGTCCATGAGATTTGTGTGTGTAATTTATTTCATTTTATTGGGAGGGTGATGTGCAGAGGGGTAACAGTTACATACATAAGGTAATGAGTACATTTCATGTCAAACCCATTCTAAATTCATTACTGTGAGTTGTTTTTTGTGTTTTGTGTTTTTGTTTTGTGTCAGTAGTAGGGCTTGAACTCTGGGCCTGGGCGCTGTCCCTCAGCTCTTCAGCGCTCTACCGCTTGAGCGACACATCACTTTCAGTTTTCTAGTGGTTTATTGGAGATAAGAGTCTCACGGACTTTCCTGCTAGGGCTGGCTTTGAACCACGATCCTCAGATCTCAGTCTCCTGAGTAGCTAGGATTACAGGTGTGAGCCACCCGCTCCTGGCTTACTGTGACATTTTTATCTCCAATTAACCAGCAACTCAAGTTGTAGAGTGCTAGACTTGAGCACAAAAGCTCAGGACAATGCCCAAGGCCCTGAGTTCAAACCCCAGGACCAGTCCAAAACAAACCAAAAACAGATGGCAGGAAAAATATTCTGTAAGGTCTCCAGATGATAGGGAGAACCTCATCTGCATTGCTCAACACAACTGGAAAATCTCATTTTATGTATTTCAGACAGCAAGCATTAAGACAAAGAGCAAATGTGCTGTCAGAACAGTATTCATTGAGTACAATGGTCATTAGTCTTTTACCTTATTTAGCTGGAACAGGTCCAAGATCTTCCTCTCTACATGCGGAATTTTCAGAGTGCTCCCCTGTAACTCCCAGTACTTTGCAATCTGGTCCAGGAAATTCAACTTTACACGAGTTTGAGCCTAAATGACAAAGAACTACATTTTAACCAACAACTTTTTCTTTTTCTTTTCTTCTGTGACAGAGTCTAGGTTGGTCTTGCTCTGCCAGACTCAATCCTCCCACTCAGCCTCCCAAGTAGCTGAGACTACAGGAATATGCAGCTGAGTGTGGCATGCACCCGGCTCCTGCCTGTACCCTCCCCAAGGAGAGATCATTCTTAGAATATTTAAATACAAAGCCACTTTCTAAATAAATGGAGGAAATAGTCAAAAGTATATAAGTAAGCATATATTAACAAATATATTCATGTACCAGGCAGAGTTAAATGCTCAGCAAGCCTTATAATAACATTTAGAACTGCATAACTTTGTGGTACTGCTTAAGACTATGACAAAAAGCTTCTGTGTATTATGTTATGTCTCCTTGCAGATGGATGGTTGAAAGGTCCTTCACAGTAGAAATTTTCTTATTTCCTCAGACAAATTTAAAAACAGACTTGCAATGATATGCCTACATATTATTAACAAGCCCTGACTATTCTCCATGGGCCATTTTTCCTTCCTATCCTGATAAAATATTAAGCCAGGTTGTTTGAAGAATTTTGTCTTGCACACTAGACCAAAAGATCAATGTTTAGATCAATATTCAGATGTTCACAACCATATGCAAGAACTCTAGTGTATATCTGTTATTTTCAAGTTAACTTGAAATTTAAACATACACTATAAAGTACATAAAAATATAAATATTAAATGTGATCATTAATGTGTCTACAGAATTCCATTTGTACTATTTCACTGAAAAATATTTGATTCAACATGGGCACTGGTGGTTCACTCACACCTGTAATCCTAACTGCTCAGAAGGCTGAGGATTGTGGTTTGAAGCCAGTGGGGTAGAAAACTCCATGAGACTCTTATCTCCAAATAACCAGCAGAAAACCAGAAGTGGCGCTGTGGCTCAAAGTGGTAGAGCACTAGACTTGAGCGAAAAAGCTCAAGGATAGTACCCAGGCCCTGCGTTCAAGCCCCACAGCCGACCAAAAAAAAAAAAATCCTTTGGTTCAGTGTAGAAACACACATTATTAAAATCTGATCAGATTTGTAAATAGTGTTATACTGAATCTATGTTATCAATACCCCCAAGCTTTTATCTACCCTATATTTTAAGCTTTCTGTGTGGTACTCCTGTATTCCTCATTCTTCCTTGGGAAACTAAATATATTATTAAAATCTAAGTTATGTACTTAAAGAATATGAAGGCTGACAATCTATTGTGCGATTTTCCAAGTAGAACCTCTGCAAAACTACATTCTAGTTATTAATATCTAAATGTAGAATGATTTAGATACATCAACTAATAGGCCAAAAAACAGAGTTTTTAATAAATGTGTTCTCCAATGGTTTTACTACCACTGTTTCATCATGGTTAGTTATCAGCCCTGTTTTCTCATTAAAATCAGATCAGTGCCGGGCGCTGGTGGTTCATGCCTCTAATTCTAGCTACTCAGGAGGCTGAGATCTGAGGATCATAGTTCAAAGCCAGCCAAGGCAGGAAAGTTTGTGAGATTCTTATCTCCAAAAAACCACCAGGAAACCGAAAGTAGCACTGTGGCTCAAGTGGTAGAGCACTTGCCTTGAGCTGAAGAGCTCATGGACAGTGCTCAGGCTCAGAGTTCAAGCCCCACAACTGACAAAAAAAAAAAAAATCAGATTGTGATAAAGTGTCTTCCAAGAGAAAGCTTCTAGAACACGGACAACAGAACCCCAGCAAGGGCATTACCTCCAATTCATTCAGCCTCTGGATACGTGGAGTAAAGTGAAGTTTATCAACATCACATGCAAATGGTGGCTGCCAGTCCTAGAAGAGACCAAGAGCTCTTATTAGGAGAATTTATATTGACACTCAGAATTATTACAGTTAAGTTTATGTACACCTATCTCTTAACCAGTCAAAACAATTTAAAACAGGTAGCTTATCAATCTGTGTCCACCACATCAGTAAGCAGAAAATGTACCATTCCCTTCCCTAATGGATGCTAGCTATATCCATACACACCACTCCCTTCCCTGGCCCAGCAATATCCGCTGCTGAAAAGTCAAAAAGTTGATGGGGCCAGGAGCTGGTGGCTCACACTTGTAATACTAGGTAATCAGGAGGTTGAGATCTAAGGATTGCAGTTGAAAGCTAGCCCAAGGTAGAAATGGAAGTGTGGCTCAAGTGGTAGAACGCCAGCCTAGAGTGAAAAAGCCAGGAAGAATTCAAAATCCTAATCTCAAATACAGTTTTAGAATTACTCTATTCTCTAGAGAATCCCATTATAGTGGGATGAGGGAATGATCATGAGGGATCATGATGTCATGAGGGAATGATCAATTAAGCAAAAAAATATGTATAAATTGTTACCTAAGTAGAGAGGAAACCTGAAACAACTGCTCAGGGATCAGAGTGCCTGACCCACAAGTACAAGACTCAAGATCAAACACCAGTACTACATGTGTAACTACCCACAACATGGGCATACTTGAAGGTATAAAATTTCACAAGTTTCAATTGGGGTATGAAATACTTACTCTGGAAATGGACAGTGGCTATGGTTGCTATGTTTGAACAGCAATGTGAACACAATCAGAGCCTCCCTGCTTTGGACACTTAAAATGCTTATAATGGTAAATTTTACATTATGTGTGGGGTTTTTTTATTTTGTTTTTGGCCAGTTCTGGGGCTTGAACTCAGGGCCTTGGCAGTGTCACTGAGCTGCTTTTGCTCTCTACCACTTGAGCCACAGTACCACTTCTGGCTTTTTGTGTTGATGTGGTACTGAGGAATTGAACCCAGGGCTTCATGCATGCTAGGCAAGCACTCTGCCACTAAGCCACATTCCCAGCCCTATTACGTGTATCTTAATATCTGACACAATTGAAAAAAAGAAAAAGCAATCAACACTTTAGTATGATCACTACTTGATGACATGGGAAGATTACAGGAGATTTTTGTTTACATACACATTTTAAATAAAATCTAATATATATTATTTAGTAAATAATATTACAGAATATGAGAATGAGAAGTCATTTAATACCTAGAAATTATTCTAGCCACATCAGTTGTTCACACCTGCAATTCTAACTACTCAGAAGGCGGAGTTCTGAAGATCCTGATTCAAAGACTGGGCAAGAAAGTCCATGAGACCCTAATCCCCAATTAAACACAAAAAGAGCCCAAGTGCCACACTAGTAGTGGCTCATGCCTGTAATCCTAGCTACTCTAGAGATCTTAGGATCATCGTTAGAAGCCAGCCTATGCAAAGTCCCCAGGAAATTCTTATCTCCGATAAACCACCAGAAAACCAGAAATGGTGCTGTGGCTCAACTGGTAGAGCTCTGGCCTTGAGCAAAAAAGCTCAGGAATGGTACCCAGGCCCTGAATCAAGACCCATCACTCACAAAAAAGAGAGAGAAAAAAAGCTCAAAGACAGTGCCCAGACCCTGAGTTCAAGATCCAGGATTGGCACTGGGGGGGTGGGGGGAATGCAGAGAGAGGAGAGAACTATTCTTTAACAAAATTGAGCTAGCACCAATAAAATGCATGCACACAATTAACTGTAGCATTACTAAGGAAGATATGACTGTTATATTGTAGTGGAACATGTGCTTAGAATGCCTGAAGGCCTGGGTTCAAGGCAGTGAGGGGTTGTGGATCAAGTGGTAGAGCATAAGGTACAAGTTCAATCTCCAGCATCAATAGCACTAATGGCTCACACTTGTAATCCTAGCTGTAAGAGGCTAGGCTCTGAAGGCTCACAGTTTAAAGCCAGCCACCACAAAATAACCAGCAAAAAGTTAGGCTAGAAGCATGGCTCAAGTGGTACAGTGCCTTAAGTAAGAAATCCAGGTGAGAACATGAGGCTCTGACTTAAAGTCACAGAACATAGTCAAAGGAGCAGGAGGAGGAATACTTGTTCAAGGTCCTAGAGTCAATCACCAGTAATCAGAAAAAAAGCTGAGTTACAAAGCAGACTACAAATTAGTACAAAACTACTCACTATACCAAAATAAATGAAAGAAAAATAAGTGACAGTACTATTTACAGCAATCAAAGGTAGTTCTGAAGTGTTCAGTGAACTTAGCTAAATTTAGCTAATCTTTAAATGGCAGTTAATGACATGCTACATTTCATTAGTTAAATATCCTCCAAAATAGGACACCTGGGATCTAAGGGCAGGAGGATTGCCAGTTCTAAGCCACTGACTCAAGACCCTGACTCGAGAAAAAACAAACCAAAAACTCCATCATAGGGATGGGATGTTTGGCAATATTAGTACCAGGTTTGCTTGCTTAGCTGGTGCTCTGACACTTGAGCAATCCCTTGAGTCAGTCCTATTTTTTTGCTGATTTGCTGTGTTGGTGGTGGTGGTGGTGGTGGTGGTGGTGGTGGTGGTAGTGGTTACTGGTCCTGGAGCTTGCTCTACCACTTGAGCCACAGCATTACTTCTGGCTGTTTTTTCTGTTTATGTGGTACTGAGGAATCAAACCCAGGGCTTCATGTGTGCTAGGCAAGCGCTCTACAACTAAGCCAGATTCCCAGCCCATTGGTGGTTATTTCTGAGGTTGGGTTTCCCAAACTTTTCTGCCCTCACTGGCCCTGGACCAAGATCCTTTCACTTTTAGCCAAGATCTAGAGTAGGTTATCCTTTTAAGTTTGACTTTTTTTGTCTTTAGATCAATAAAGGTAAAGTAAAATGTTTACTTATTTGGAACACAATGTAGTACAAAGAAACTACATCACTTCTTAACAATCTACGGCAGGATAACAAGAACTTTATAATAATGAGAGCTTTGTTTGCTCATACTTTTAACAAAGGTGTTCAGAAATGAACTGATGTGAGCCAGGTCCTGGTAGCTTCAATTCTGTAACTCTAACTACTCAGGAGCTGAGATCTGGAAGGTTTTGATTCAAGACCAACCAAGACAGAAAAGCTCACAATTGTAACTTGAAGGTAGGAATGAGAGGGAAGAATAGGGGGAACAACAGAAGGGGTGACACTAATCAAGATGCATTGTATTCATAATTGTAACCTCTTTGTACAACTAGTTAATAATTGGAAAAGTAATTAGGGGCTGGGAAGGGGGCTCAGTGGTAGAGTGCTTGCCTTGCATGCATGAGGCCCTGGGTTCGATTCCTCTGCACCACATAAACAGAAAAAGCTGGAAGTGGCCCTGTGGTTGAAGTGTAGAGCACTTGAGCTGAAGAGGGGTTCTGGCCCCATGAAGGAAGGAAGGAAAGAAGGAAAGAAAGAAGGAAAGAAAGAAAGAAAGAAGGAAAGAAGGAGAAAGAAAGAAAGGAAGGAAGGAAGGAAAGACAGGGAGGGAAGGAAGGAAGGAAGGAGAGAGAGAAAGGGAGGGAGGGAGGGAAGGGAGGGAGGGAAGGAAGGAAGGAAGGGAGGGAGGAAAGGGAGGAAAGACAAAAGACAGACAGACAGACAGACAGACAGAAAGAAAGAAAGAAAGAAAGAAAGAAAGAAAGAAAGAAAGAAAGAAAGAAAGAAAAAGAAGAGAGAGGGAAGGAAGGAAGGAAGGAAAAAGAATAATTAGCCTTAAAATTAAAAGAGAAAAGTCCATAAGAATGAAGAGCAGTCTTGAGTGCTTACTACCTTACGGAATAAAAAAGTCCCTGGTGCCGGGCGCTGGTGGCTCACGCCTGTAATCCTAGCTACTCAGGAGGCTGAGATCTGAGGATCGCAGTTCAAAGCCAGCCTGGGCAGGAAAGACCGTGAGACTCCTATCTCCAATAAACCACCAGAAAAATGGAAGTGTCGTAGAGCGCTAGCCTTGAGCTGAAGAGCTGAGGGACAGCGCCCAGGCCCAGAGTTCAAGCCCTACGCCAAAAAAAAAAAAAAAAAGTCCCTGGTGAAGTCCAGCCTCATTGTGTCCTGAGGGGTTTTATTTGTTTTTTATGCACGTGAGTTTCTTTGTATCAAGGTTAGCACTCTACCACTTGAGCCACAGCTCCACTGGCTTTTTACAGGTGTGAGCCACTGGTGCCCAGCCTCTGTCCTGAGTTTTAATGCTCAGAGGGACAAAGCCATTAAGATGATGAACCACACTGGGCACTGGTGGCTCACATCTGTAATCCTAGCTACCTACAAAGGAGGCAGAGATCTGAGGAATCAAACCCAACCAGCCAGGGCAAGAAAGTTGGTGAAAATCTATCTCCAAATAACCACCGAAAGAGCCAGAAGTAGAGCTGTGGCTCAAGTGGTAAAGCACTAACTTGAACACAAGCTCAGAGTCAGCACCCAGACCCAATCGGGGTTGGGGGGAGCGGGGAGCGGGGTGCAGGGACAAAAACTTTTCAATGGTAAGTAGAACTTGCCAGGTATGGCAGCACAACCATGTGAATTCCAGCATTCAGGAGAGGATCACAAGTTTGAGGCCAGCTAGGGCTACATTGTGATACCCTATCCAAAAAAAAAGAATTATTTTAGTTTCCTTAGCACTCAAAAAGGTATTCCTTGGGAAGGCAATTAAGCAGAAAGTTGAAGCTGCATGTCCTCAGAGAGGCTGAGAACCATCAGGTCAATGTTCACCTCAATCCCAGCACTAACCTGGCAACAATTACATAAAAGCATGTTTAATGAAACTGTTTAAAAAATAAAATTACAGCTGGCACCAGTGGCTCACGCCTATAAAACTAGCTACTCAGGAGCTGAGATCTGAGGGTTGTGATTCAAAGCCAGCCCAGGCAAGGAAAGTCCATGACACTCTTATCTCCAATTAACCACTAGAAAACCAGAAGTGGCGCTATGGCTCAAGTGATAGAACACTCCCCTTGAGCTGAAGAGCTCAGGGACAGCACCC